CGCGCGCCGCATGCACGATCGTCGGAAGATTTTTACCCTAGCAACTCTCGGTGGGTCGGCTGAGGTGCCCCCTGGAGTGGCGCCGTTATGGCGCCCGATATATGCCCCTGCCGACCCGGCGACCCCTCAGTTCCTTCTTGCCGGCTACTCCGACAGTGGGGAAGGAGGGCGGGTTTGGAATGGATATGAGCAACACATCTCGAAGAACAACAGTTACAAAGGTGAGTAACCGTCTTTTCTTCTTCGAGTACTTGCTCATATCGATTCCAATTAGGTAATTCCCAAACCTTACCTAGGCGGTGGGGTCGGAGTTAGATGTTGCGGATTGAAGAACCGCTGAACCAAATGCTGCGTCATCCCTGGACTGTTGCACTATAGCATAGTGGGAAGCGAAGGTATGTACGGATGACCAAATCGCTGCCCTGCAGATTTCCTGTATGGGCACATGAGCTAGAAAGGCGGAGGACGACGCTTGAGCCCGAGTAGAATGGGCAGTAAGCCGGGTAGTCGGGACACCCGCCAAGTCACGCACGGATGCAAGACGTAATCCAAGACGAAATTCGCTGCAAGGAGACCGGGAGACCTTTCATCCGGTCTGCTACTGCTACAAACATCTGGGGTGTCTTTCTAAAGGGCTTAGTTCGTTCGATATAAAAGGCGAGAGTCCTGCGAACGTCTAGGGAATGTAGCTGCTGTTCCCGTCGTGAAGCGTGGGGCTTTGGAAAGAAGACCGGAAGGAAGATGTCTTGGTTGACATGGAAGGCAGACACCACCTTAGGGAGGAAGGCGGGGTGTGGTCGCAGCTGTACCTTGTCCTTATGGAACACCGTGTATGGTGCATCCGATGTAAGACCTCGAAGCTCCGATACTCGTCTCGCTGATGTGATAGTGATGAGGAAAGCTGTTTTCCAGGAAAGGTACAGAAGGGAGCAGGTGGCCATTAGCTCAAAGGGGGGACCTATGAGTCTAGAGAGGACGAGGTTGAGGTCCCACGTAGGGGTCAAATGACGGATTTCCAGATTCAGCCGTTCCAAACCCTTGAGGAACCGGTTGACCATGGGATTGGAGAAAATCGAGCGGCCATTTTTGCCTGAAATCGCTGCCAGGTGTACCTTGATAGGTGATACCGCTAGACCTTGTCATTTGAGTGACAAGAGGTAATCTAGGATGGTAGGTATTGGAACCTGTAGGGGGACAGCGTCCTTCAGGGCACACCAGCAGGAGAAGCGTTTCCACTTGGCTAGGTATGTGGACCTAGTGGAGGGCTTTCTGCTTCCTAATAGGACTTGCTGCATCAAACTGGAGCAGCGCAGCTCAGATTGTGTCAGCCATGCAGCATCCATGCTGTGAGATGAAGGGACTGCAGGTCCGGATGGCATAACCTGCCGTGATCCTCCGTGATCAGGTCTGGCCACAATGGGAGAGGAATTGGCTTGGTCACCAACAGATCGAGGAGTGTGGTGTACCAATGTTGTCTGGGCCACATTGGTGTGACCAAGATTAGGCGGGCCTTGTCCCTGCGTAACTTCAGAAGGACCTTGTGGACCAACGGAAACAGAAGGAAGGCGTAGAGCAGCTGGTCTTTCCACGGTATCAGGAAGGCGTCTGACAGGGAGCCCGGGGAGCGAACCCTGGAGAGAGCAGAACACTTGGCACTTCAGATTCTCATGGGAGGCGAAGGGGTCTATGTGGGGAAACCCCCACATCCGGAAAATGGAATGAATGACGTCTGGACATATTGACCACTTGTGAGTCATAAAGGATCTGCTGAGGCGATCTGCCAAGGTGTTCTGGACTCCCGGGAGAAATGACGCCACCAGGTAGATTGATTGGGCTATGCAGAACTCCCAGAGGCGAATGACTTCCTGGCATAGTAGGGACGACTGTGCTCCGCCTTGCTTGTTGATGTAAAACATGGCCGTTGTGTTGTCTGTGAAGACAGTGACACAACAGCCTTGCAGGTGTTCAAAGAATACCTGACACGCCAGGCGCACTGCCCTCAGTTCCTGGACGTTGATGTGGAGGGATATTTCCTGCGCGGACCAGAGGCCTTGAGTGCAAAGGTCCGCGAGGTGAGCGCCCCAGCCCAGGGAGGACGCATCCGTGGTGAGGACTAGAGAAGGTTGCGGTGCATGGAATGGTATTCCCCCGCAAACATGGTTGGGATTTAGCCACCAACTCAGAGAGGACAATACCTTCGTAGGCACCGTGAGTACTGTGTCCAAACTGTCCCAGCCTGGACGGTACACTGACGAGAGCCAGATCTGAAGCGGGCGGAGGCGTAGCACTGCTCTACAGCCAAAATGCTTCTGAAATAAATGTAGTCAAACTTTACTAATTCTGGGTCACTAAGAATGAAAATGATGCTTAAAATTGTTGATTGGCTCTAGTTTTCAAGATATGCTATTGGGTCAGTATATACGACCCTTGATTTGGGAATGGCGGAGGATAAGTGAGTTATAAAGGGAAGGGATCTCAATTTAAACCTGAAATGACTAAAATACATCTTTGACTGGATCTATGAATAAATCTATGACTGGGTTTGGACAGTACTTGCTTTTTAGGCAAAACAATGAATGATGCAATTTGAAACTGGTATTGCGTCATACATGCTATGAATTGCATCATGTTATTCCTAGAAGTCATGGATGATGCAATCATAACAAAGCTTACATCACTCTGCTGAACAAATTGCCCTATATCAGCTCTAGAAATCATACAGTGTCGTGCTCTTTTATTTGTCAGTGTTTGATTTTGCAAAGGGACACATTTCTGTTTAGCCAAAGTGAGCAGAGATGCCTCATACTTGTGTGAACCATGCAGATAATTTCTGCTATGTTTGTGGTGAAGTGACTTCTGCATCACAAAAGTGCGGTATAACCACTTTGGTTAAGAAAGCCTATCACCTTTCTTTTGGCTGCAAAATTGGAGATCAGGACAAGAGGTGGGCCCCACACATACGCTGCAACACTTGTGCAACAAATCTTCGCCAGTGGTTGAACAGGAAAAGGAAATCTATGCCTTTTGCAGTGCCAATGATTTGGAGAGAGC